TTCAATTTTTTTGTAGTTTATTGCACTTTTTTGCAATTTATGTAATTACTATGCACCTAATGCAGACATATTATTAAAGTTTGGGCTATAATGGTTGTATTGATGTATAGCAACTTGAAATGCTCCCAAAAATGGCTCCACAGCATGTAAAAATATAATATAAGCTCTGGCGAACTTGGTTCTATGGTAGGTCTTAAAGGGTTAATGTTGCAGAGAACATTAAAGATCAGAGACATGTGGAGCATAAAAACTAGAACAAACAACTCCCACGCCTGCAATTACATCAATTTTCTTCAGGTAAATCTAAGTTAATTTCACATAGTCCGGCTGTATGCCCTTTAAAATAGCACGCATGAACACCACATGAGTGGGCGGAGTGAGGAATCAGGTCTTGACACCTCCCTGTTCTCTGTTTACCTGGAGGTTGGTTGGGCTCACCTCTGGTTGCTGCCTGGTTAGTACTTATTATTATTATTATTATTTACTCCTATTTATGCATATGTTGGTCATTGCTGTTTCCCTACTATGTTATTCTTTTTCTCTCTGTTAACTTCCCCCAACTTCTCTCACTTTGTGTTTTTGTTCCACCCCCTGGTCTTGTCCATTGTGATTCAAGAGGAAAATTATGTACTAATGATACACTTGGAGAACTACATTTTGTGGCCCTCAACAATTTGGATTTTTACACTGCTGGACAGGGAAAAAAGCAGATTTATAGAATGTGTCCATAAAAGGCTGAAAATGTCACTCAGACATCAAAGACATGAACTCACGCTGCTTTAAGTCACATCTACCAAAGCGTTCCTCCTGTTCTGATTTTTCTGATAATAATCAGAAAGTGCTGAACTCCTCTAAGCTGTTACAGGAACAGATGTTGGCAGATGTGTCAGTGACAGAGTCACAGTTAGAGAGGTCAGTGAGCAGGATTTCTATCAGGATTCATGTCAGAGTTATTATAATGATGTCTGTTGGTTCACACTCACGGCTGCTTTGGACTGATTCCAGCTCAAAGAGCATCAACATGTTTTCATTTTTCCATCATGATGAGAAGCAGAAACTCTGAGGATTCTCCTGAACTCCTGACTACAGTAAGTCATCCCACAGATTCTGCTTTATATTCTACATATTATTCAGTAAATTATAGATTATTACTGATACTCAAGCTGTACAAATACTCTGGTAAAAGCTGAAGTACTCATTAAACTTCTTTGCTGAAGTAAAAGTGAAAAAGTACAGGCTCTGAAAAGTACTTGAGTAAAAAGTAATCGGGGTTAAGTGGACGTGGCAGGTGGAGAAACTCTAAGACTGAGTGTGGAGGTGCAGTGTGGGATAAAGAAATAAGTCAGAATCATTTGTGAAACCAGTTCAGTCTTTATCCAGGTTGTCTGCAATGATCTTTTAAACCCAACAGATGGCGCTCTTCACAGTGTCAACACAGCAAAGTGAGTGTGCCACACTCCATTAGGAGCCATCTACTCATCACTATCTTAAACTATAACCTTCATGGGACTGTGAGGGAGAAGAACAAAGAGCAAGAAAAGACTGAGACAACATGTACACACAGGATAACATGTGGGAGCACAGCTGGGCCAATCACAGAGGACGAGACAGAGGAAGCAGAACTAGACATGAGCAAAAACTTAAAATCACAAAGGAACAAATGATCTGATCACTGAAGACTATAATGTTTCATCTACATGTTCAGTTCCTTGTACTTTCAAATCTGTCACATTGGACAATTGGTGTGTCACAATGTATGGATGTAAAAATTGGATTTAAAAGGGGAAATATCATTATGTTTGTCCCAAGGGCGTAGATTTGGTTTTGGCATTGGTGGGGACGGATGATTCAACCACCGAACTCTGCCCTGTTTCTTTTTTTTCCTTTTTGTTTTTGCTTCTTGATAAAAGGAGAAATATACTTGCCTACATATGCTATTCTACATGCTTTTAAACCGTTTAAAATCACAGTTCATATTTTTACATTTGAATTATATAATGTTAAATTACTATTAAACAAATGACTGACTAAGTATTTTAGGCTTTAGTTTACTTCAGCCATATTCCATATAAATCAGGTATCATACAAACATAAAAACAGCTTCAAATACAGTCATGACAATAAAAGAATATGACTTTAAGGACTTAACAACATCACTTCAGTTACACCAACATCTCTGACACATTAGCACTAAGGGAACACTGAATGACCTGCTGGGTTTTGTCCATAAAACTACTCGTCTAAGATGACCACAAAGTAAAAGATCTCTCTGCAAAATTATGCAACATTTTAGGCACTATTGCCCCGATCAACTCAGTGAGCTGGGACTTTTTATTCTATACATGAACTACTGTTACAGCAACAGACATGAACCACTGGTGTCCCACACAACAACTCAATGTGAAGCAGACACATACATGCCTGCTCCTCTCGTTAACTGAGGTAAACTGCTGACATATTGGTTTTACATCTATACTGTCCAGTCTCTCCTGGTGGACACACAGCAGCATTGTTTAATCTCATTTGAGTCATTGTTGACCTTAGTCATGTTTTTAGTCTTCTGAGGGCACTGAAGCTTCTTTCAGCCTCAGTACATGCGTTTTATCCTCAGATTAAAATTATTATTATTCTGTGCTTGATGTGCCTCACCTTTGGCCCTGGCTCCTCCCCTCTGACTGCACTAGGACCTATTGCCACCTGATAAAATAACACATTGATTTGTGCCATATAAAAGTGAGACGTGTCAATTCAGATTCAATTTACATCAGCAGCCTAACAATTGTCATGATAATAAATACTAGTCAACCTATAGCACCATAACATCAGTCAGTCATCTGTGACCTCGCCTCCTCACCTCTGTCCGAGCTACAACATGGCAGAGCTGCCTCTGTCACCTGATGAATAACAGTGAGACATTCCACATACATGCAGTCACACATGTGCTTCAAATACAGTCATGAACCATCAAGTTATTATCCAGTTTCACCTATGATCTTGTGTCACCATTACTCTCTGAGCTTTGTGTTGGTTCTTCTGTCACCTGACAAATAGGACATAGATGACAATAAGAATAAAATGTGGAGCTGCTTCAGTGTTTCTGTCACTTTGTGCAGATCGTGACTCATCAGTAATGTTTGTAGGCTGAGTGCATTTTTAAACAATTTGTGCAAACTGCACTACAAGGTGGAATATTTGCAACATCATGACTACCTCATGATATTTTGTCTCAAAAATTAACCCTATGAATACGTCAGTGCCATTAGGATGAAATTATTGAGTCACCAACGTTTTAACGTTAGACGTATAATTTTAACAGCCTCTGTAAACTAATATCCGGGCTGCTCAAAGCTGCAGTTTTCTCTGACAGTTTCAATCAAAATTAGAAATGCTGCTCTGAGACTGAGAGAACTAATAGTGCTGCCTGTTGTGCAGTTAGTTTCCAAATGGTTACATACAATTTTAGACTGATGTGGGACAAAGCCTAGCATAGCCTGTAACATTATTGTGACGGACACATTTTATTAGTGAACTTGGCTTTAAGTGACTTACAGGTTTCTTTGAAAAATACTTTCTTATATCCAGGTTCTTCCTCTTTGCTGCCGTCCTCCTCGCAGCGCAGGCTTGCAGCTGCTAAAACTAAACAGAGCTCCCTGAAAGGCGCAGCCAATCACATTGGCCATATTTGTCACGTGAGGTAGGACTCCAGTAGAGGACGTAATTTAACTTTTTCTGCACCGCTGGGTGAATGAGACGCTGACAGATCGTTTTTTTTTCTTTCTATGGGTTCTGTTTTTCTTTACTCGAAGAGATCAAATTATTGGTGGGGACATGTCCCTTCCGTCCATGCCAAATCTACGCCCTTGGTTTGTTCAGTTCACCCAAAGATGAACTTGTTCCATTATTTCTTTGAATGTTTGAATTGTTTACTTTCTTTAAAAAAAATGCTTGTGCTGAACAAACCTTAAGTAGTTTCCTTTGGACCTTTGTTAAAGCAGTTTGTAAGAAGTGCAAGAAGTAAGTAAGTGTGTAAGTGTAAGAAGTAAGTAAGTGTAAGTGTGTAAGTGCAAGAAGTAAGTAAGTGTAAGTGTTCCTTTGGACCTATAGAAAAAGCAGATGGATTAAACCAATCTCACACTTTTTATCTTCATATGGATGTTTGTTCATCCTGATGATCAGAAGAGTGTTTGAGGATTTGACACATCTCTTAAGAACAACAGTAAGTGTTTGCTGTCTTTTTCTAAAACCACTTTCAGTCTTTTATATAAAAGTTTCAGTTGTCATGGTTACAGTTCACTTTACCCTGTCATGTACGAATTTTGACAACGTGAATTAGATTTTTTTCCTTAAGTATTTTTTATTCATCTTTATCTTTATTTATATTAAAGATAATAAAAATACTTAACAAAAAATCCCGATTGAGGTTGTCACAATTCATGCATAACAGGGTTAAATAACAATAGTTACAATAAAACACGCCATACATCTATGGTAACATTAAACCACCAGTGAGGGTATGGAGTAACACAGTGTCCAATGTAGTGGTTTATGTACAAGTATACCATCAAAACTGACACAAATGCAAGAAAACAGCCTTTGAATAGCTGTCCACAGCTGTACTGCAGTGACCACTGTGCGTGAAAGAGTCAGCATCCACCCACAAAAATGTTTAAACAGAAAAACTGTTTCAAAAACGAGTGAGACTTCATTTAAAATGTAGTTTCCTTTCTAGTGGATGTTAACCCTGTAAAGTCAGAAGTATGATATCATTGCTAGAAAATCCAACACATCAAACGTCACCCCGACGCAACTTCGATACGAGACGTTAAATCGAAAGTGTTTTGAGTTTGAACGGGAAGCTGAACGACAGATCACAACACCGTCCTAACCCTCAGGGACTTTCAGCTTTATTTAAACCTTAAATTTAATCTGAGGTAGGGTCTCTCAGGTTTAAACTCAGGTTCCGTTATTGAGTTAAAATACCAACAGACTCAGATATTTAGGACAAACTAAGAGTCAGATCAGCAGAAACAGAGAACACGGACATGTCTGCTGTAACTGCAACGCTCTGCTCCACTTTGATCTTTGTCCTGTTCGTCTCTGCAGGTGAGATTTAACTGATAGAAACTAAACTGAGTTTAATTCTGATTTAAAGAATCTCAGTCTGGTTTATTTCTCTAAGAATGAATTTCTTATACATTCAGTATCTGGAGCGAAACAAGGCTGGGTGGAGTCTGTTCCAATTTAGCGATCGCACGCTTGAAGTACGCGCATTACGTACCGGGGAGACCGGGGATAGTTGTAACATTTTTCACATTTCTCTCTGTAAATTGGAGATCTTTTAAGGTAGTGGATTCAAAATGTAATGCAAAGTATTTACATGTCTCTGCTATTAAATAGTGCAGCTATTTTCTCTGCAGCACAATTACCCATTGCATGGTGTGGTCTCAAACACAAAGAGTGAAATGTTACAATTAACCCCATAGTCTGGGTTAGTTGTAACATATCCTGGGGTGAAATGTAACACAATGAAATAAGGGTACTAACAAAACATTAACGTGTAATCTTTGTTTATTCAACACATGAATGCACTTAGAGCCATTTATGCAACTATGTGTGTGTGTGTGACAGAATGCAGAAATCTAGCTTTTGAACATATTCCAACCCCCAAAAAAGACAAATTATGGAATTTTCTGCAACTGAATATTTCATTAATTTTGGTTGGTCTTCCTTGAGTTTGGCCTCATTGGCTCAGTGGGCATTATAACCTACAACTCTTGCACCAATTTTGAACATAACAATGAAGCTGAAAAAATGTAGTTGTTCAACAGCATCGCAATTGAATTACTTTTTATCATGGCTTACCTTGGTGTGGTTTGCAAAGTGCTTCAGAAAGATGAGGAAATCTGTTTCTTGCACCCATCCTGACTTATTTCCACTACCAGTACTTCCTACTGGTCCATCTCTGACACAGTGGTCTGCATAATGTATGTGTGGGAACACAAACAGTGGAGGAATTGTGTTGCCAATGGCATTAACCGCATATACAAAAGTGACCAGTGAACCTCTCTCTGCTGATGTCGTTCACAAACTTGTTTAATATAAGTTAAAGTAATAGTGTGGTAAGTTGTAACATCTGCGTTATTGTTACAACTAACCCAGACTGTTGCTGTTACAACTGACCCAGACTCCTATAGCCATGAACTAGCTAACATTACAGCCAACGGCTAAAACATTAGCACTAAAGACGTACACAGAATATATCCCCACAGACATACAAATAACATAATTTAAGTTTGATGAGTTTAACTGCAAAGCAGATAATGCTATTAGAAATTGAAATAAAGTAGAAAAACTTACTTTTTGGCATACAAATTACATTTTTTCGTGTTAAATTGTCTGTGTTTGACAAAATGTGCTGATTTTTCACATGTGATAGCAGAACTGAATTGGGCATGTGCAGGATGAGTCACATCATTTGAAACTTAGCCCTGATTGGAGAAATTGGAAGTGTTACAACTGACCCACGTTACAACTATCCCCGGTCTCCCCTGCTATAAGTACTAGTGATGTGCGGATCATCCTGAAATATCGATTCCTCCGATACCAGTCATTTATGTTCTAGAATCGATTCTCACATTAAAATATTGATATTTTAGTCATTTAGAGTAAATTTGTAGTTTATCATTAACAGGAACACAGTGGAAAGAAACTATAACATTCGGATTGTCTGCATTCAAAGGAACTACTTCCTCTTCCGCCTTTCATAGTCATGTGCAAAATACGGCTGTATAAATGTCTCGCAGCCCCTTGGCGCGTGCACTCACAACAATGGTTGAGCGTAATTGTGGAGACGTATTTTACCTCCACAAATAGCCGAGACGTGGCAAAAAAGTGCTCCAAGAGTGAGGTGTTGTGGCCATACTTTCCCAACCTTGAGACCTCAGAATTAGGGAGACAATTCATAAGGGCTGTTGGGGTGTGGGGGGTGATAAATACATTTTACAGTGTTTCTTTATCGGATAAAATACGTTAAATGTCACCGTTATTATTGGCCGGCCCGGAAACAGCGGGGGTGTCCAAATTCAGAGGCTGCTTCCACCTGAGACTCTGCTCCTTGCTATCGAAATATAACCGGGCGCTGAGAGAGCGGCGGGCTGGGGTGGGTATTCTAATATCCCCTCGGCTTGCTGCCGGTACGTTGGGATTTTTCCCGGTGGACGAGAGGGTTTGTTCCCTGCGCCTTAGGGTCGGGGAACGGGTCCTGACTGTCATCTGCGCTTATGCGCCGCGTGGCAGCTCGGAGTACCCAGCCTTCTTAGAGACCCGGGGGGGGGGGGGGGGGGGGGTGCTGGAAGGTGCTCCACATGGAGACTCTGTTGTCCTGCTGGGAGACTTCAATGCTCACATGGGTAACGACAGCGAGACCTGGAGGGGCGTGACTGGGAGGAGCGGCCTCCCTGATCTGAACCCGAGCGGTGCTTTGTTATTGGACTTCTGTGCTAATCACAGTTTGGCCATAACGAACACCCTGTTCGAACATAAGAGTGTCCATAAGTGCACGTGGCACCAGGATGCTCTAGGCCGTAGGTCGATGATCGATTTTGTAATCGTATCACCAGACCTGCGACCATATGTTCTGGACACTCGGGTAAGAGAGGGGCTGAGCTGTCAACTGATCACCACCTGGTGGTGAGTTGGATCAGGTGGCGGGGGAGGACGCTGGACAGACCTGGTGCACCTAAACGCGTAGTGAGGGTGTGCTGGGAACGTCTAGCAGAGGCCCCAGTCCGCGAGATCTTCAACGCACACCTCCGGCAGAGCTTAAACAGCATTCCAAGGGAGACTGGGGACATTGAGTCCGAATGGGCCATGTTCAGCGTCTCCATTGCCGAAGCTGCTGCATTGAGCTGCGGCCGCAAGGTGGTTGGTGCCTGCCGTGGTGGTAATCCCCGAACCAAATGGTGGACACCAGAGGTGAAGGGAGCCACCAGGCTGAAGGAGGAGTCCTATCGGGCTTGGTTAGCCTGTGGGACTCCGGAGGCAGCCGACAGGTATCGACAGGCCAAGCGGAATGTGGCTCGGGCAGTGGCTGAAGCAAAAACTCGGGTGTGGGAGGAGTTCGGAGAGGCCATGGAAAAAGACTTTCGGACTGCCTCGAAGAGATTCTGGCAAACCGTCAGGCGTCTCGGGAGGGGAAAGCTGGTAGACCGGGGTGGTGGTCCCCATTTTTAAGAAGGGGACCGGAGGGTGTGTCCCAACTACAGGGGGATCACACTCCTCAGCCTCCCTGGGAAAGTCTATGCCAGGGTGCTGGAAAGGAGAGTTCGTCCGCTAGTCGAACCTCGGATACAGGAGGAACAATGCGGTTTTTATCCTGGTCACGGAACACTGGATCAGCTCTTTATCCTCTCGAGGATACTTGAGGGTGCATGGGAGTTTGCCCAACCAGTCTACATGTGTTTTGTGGACTTGGAGAAGGCATTCGATCGTGTCCCTCGGGGTGTCCTGTGGGAGGTGTTGCGGGAGTATGGGGTGTCTGGCCCATTGCTACGGGCCATTCGATCCCTATAAAACCGTTGCTAGAGCTTGGTTCGCATTGCCGGCAATAAGTCGGACTCGTTCCCGGTGGGTGATGGGCTCCGCCAGGGCTGCCCTTTGTCTCCGGTTCTGTTCATAATTTTTATGGACAGGGTTTCTAGGCACAGCCAAGTGGCGGAGGGCTTTCACTTTGGTGGCCTCAGAATCTCATCTCTGATTTTTGCGGATGATGTGGTTCTGTTGGCTTCATCGGGTGAGGGCCTCCAGCTCGCACTGGAACGGTTCACAGCCGAGTGTGAAGCAGCAGGATTGAGGATCAGCACCTCCAAATCTGAGGCCATGGTTCTCAGCGGGAAAAGGGTGGAGTGCTCTCTCCGGGTCGGGGATGAGTTCCTGCCCCAAGTGGAGGAGTTCAAGTATCTCGGGGTCTTGTTTGCGAGTGATGGGAGAAGGGAGCCAGAGATCGACAGACGGATTGGGGCTGCAGCTGCAGTAATGCGGACGCTGCACCGGTCCGTCGTGGTGAAGAGGGAGCTGAGTGTAAAAGCGAAGCTCTCAATTTACATTGTTCTCAATGAACAAAAATGATCTGACTGGGCTTTTGCTTTCCTTTTCTTATTTTATACATCCGAGTAGACCTCACTATTTTTCCTCGATACAAATTCATGGTAAGCTTCATATAAGCTTCTATATCCTTCCTTATTTTTATGCACGTTAAAATGCCCTTAGTGTCTATTTTCCCCTTAATAATTACAATATGTGCACATTTTTTTATTTTCCAACTTGCTCCAGTCTCTTAGCTCTCTGGCTCTGAAATTCAAGAGCTCATTAACATCTCTACGCAATGAGGCATGATTAATTTCCCCAATTTTAGTCTTTCAGTCAGTTTAATTGTGATTACGGACTTTGCACTTTTTTTTATTTTAGAAGAATGTCTCAGCCTCTTTTCTTGCACTTAAGTTAGTCATTTCCCAGTTATTTAGCTGAACAACAAAAAAATAACAACTGTTTCAAAAACAACTTTATGGTTCTATATGTAACTACATTATAATGAATCCCGTCCTTTTCAGGCTGAACTCTGATTTTATGTTTGTTGAAAAATATATTTTCAATGTCACTGCGCCTTTTAACACAGACAAATAAAGGAAATATAAATGTCACTTTGCCAGAAAAAACTGATTGGGGCTTTTCCTTTTTTGACACTAATGTCCGCTTTAGATTATCTATGAAAGATATGTGTGTCAGATTATAGGCCAAAGACTCATTTACCACTGTTTAAACACAACTACTTCCAGCTGATACATAGTGGTTACTTCCTTGTCAGAACTTTCCAGAAATGAGGCACGGACATCTGTCCAGACCTAAACAGGCAGTCAGTCAGTTCCAGTAATACCAGTCATATCATCAAATAACAACTCAAATGAACCCACCGCTCAGTTTACCATCATCCTCTGTCCAACTCAGAAATCACTTGCGGTTTCACCTGGTTAATTATTAAACACTTTATGATTCTACAGTCCAAAAGTCACAAAAGTCACCCTAACACAAAGTCTTTAAGAGACTTTGTATGTACATGAGTAGTTTGTTCTCACAGTCAGTGGCCTTTGGCTTTATTTAAACCATAAATTTAAGTTTTTAAACTCAGGTTCTCTGTTGTTTGCTGATGCAAGGCTATCTATAACAAACAGAGTTTGATCGTTGGAACTCAAGAACACGGACATGTCTGCTGTAACTGCGTCGATATTCTTAACTTTGCTGTTTGTCGGAGTCTTCGTGTTTGTCTCTGCAGGTGAGGTTTACCTGTTATATCAGTATAATATCAGTTGGTGTTTCTCTCTAAGATAAAGAGTAAGAACTACAGTAGAATTAATTTCATTTTAGTGCCAAGATCATGTCTGTAGGAATCATGTATGAATTTAAGAAGGTAACAGTGCTGACCACCTCAATGAAGCCCTAATACTGTTAGTTTGTGTAAATTATTGTTTTATAAATATTTTCTTTTGTAATGTGTGACAACAAGGCTGAGGGCAGAAACAACATTTTATACTATACATGTATTAAAGACTTAAAATTGTTAGTGTTAAATAAGCCGACTCCAACTGAAACATGTGGGTTTGTGATTTTTTTTAATGTTTTTTTTATTTATTTAAAAGCTAATCTATTTTTAAAAGTGAACAGTTGTACTTGACCTTTAACCTCTCTGCTCTGTGCTGTTTCTTCTTTCAGACCAGAAAACCATCACAGTCGCATCTGGACAGGACGTTATTCTGCCATGTCGAGTTCCAAATAAAAATACAAACAAATTTGTACAGTGGAGCAGAGCTGACCTGGAGCCGGAATATTTCCTTGTTTATCGGGATGGGCAGTTTCCAGATAACCAGCATCCATCTTTTAAGAACCGGGTGGATCTGCAGGACAGACAGATGAAGGATGGAGACGTGTCTTTGATTTTGAAGCATGTGAGCAGCGCTGATACTGGATCATATGTGTGTCGTGCTTTCATGGAAGAAACACGTTCATGGAAACCAATCAGCATCATCAACCTGAATGTTCCTCCAGGTGAGTGAGTGAGCTCAGACACTGCTTGATTCTCTTTCTCTCTCTATTATAATGTTACTACCATAAAAGCAGAGACTGCTCATTTTTTAAGAAGGCAAACACAGGAATTCAGCTGAGGATGAAATAATTATTTCCCAGACTGTAGCTGTTGATGGAGCAGGTGATCCTGAACTATGCCTTAGTTGTGATGTAATAGACTTAGGCTACTTGGTCCCTTTATTATTAGCAGTTATTAAAATAGATCTCTCCTACAGTTTGCCTTTTGTACTGTTTCTCTGTACTCTCTTTTTTTTCTCACACCAACAACCAGTCCCAGCAAATGACTGTCCCTGGTGTAATTAAAGTGACTTCCTGTATTCCTGATAACCTAACCCTTTCCCACTGTGCAAACAATGTAAATATGTATATAAGAAAGCTGAAAATATTTGTCATACTTTAAGTTGCACATCTGGTTCTTATGCAAGCCTCACTCCCCACATCATTGAGCTATTACTGCACTTCTTTTGGCTTTTTTTAAAAATGTATTAATTGATTGATTAGTTTACAACATATATGGAGCTGGGTAAATATGTCAGTCTTCTTTATGTTCTCCTTTTTTTAAAAATGTTTTTTGAATTTGTGTTGAGGATACTTGTGGGAATGTTTTCATTTTATTTTGGATAAATATCTAATTTACTTATTTGGAACTGAATTTATTTTCCATTTTGAGTGTGTTCTTCTGTAACACTTGAAGATTTAGACAGTTTAGTTTATTTTATACATCTATATTGGTATACTGTTAGGATTTTGAGTTTATTACAATATGTATCATTTCTAGTCTTTGGTTTCTTTGTTAGAGTTCTGTCTTATGTTTTATGTCTCTGTGTTCTCTAGTTGCTGTCTCCCCTGTCAGCTGTATCCCCTTGTCAAGTTCATGTCTCTGTGTTATGTTTCCTGTTTTACTTTGAAAGTCTGTGTCTCATATAAATGAGAGTCTCAGTTTTGTTACTTTTTGTAGTTCAGCATTAAAGCTGTATTGAAGTTCACCCTTTGTCTCCGACTGTCTGCACCTTAGGTCCTTTTCCTGCCTGCACACAGCCTTCACATAACTTATACAGCTACAAAGCTTTTTGTTCAGTGTATACAAACAGCTGTAGCTCCATAAAGGCAGCATGCAGAGACTCACCGTGTCTTATAATGAGAGGCTGCTTTCTCTCACACATTATGTTCACTTATTATCAGCACATGTTGTTGTTCTGTGGAAGCTAACATCTTGTAGTTTCTGACACTTTGCATGTTTAGCATGAGGCTAAAATTCCCCCTCAGTGGGTCACTGGTGACCTGCTGGATGTTCAGAGGTTCATTAAATCCAACATGACTAAAAACTCAAATGTCAAAGGAAATAAACAAAATATTTAAAGTCAATCATTCTGATCATAATTGTACTTTGACCTTTAACCTCTCTGCTCTGTGTTGTTTCCCCTTTCAGACATGAAAACCATCACAGCTGTGCCTGGACAGGACGTCACGCTGACATGTCAAACTCCAAATAACAACAACATCAAATATGTACATTGGAGCAGAGCTGACCTGGAGCCAGAATATTTCCTTGTTTACAGGAATGGGCAGTTTTTTCCAGCCAACCAGCATCCATCTTTTAAGAACCGGGTGGATCTGCAGGACAGACAGATGAAGGATGGAGACGCGTCTTTGATTCTGAAGGATGTGAACAGTGCTGATAATGGAACATATGTGTGTCATATTTTCATGGAAGAAACACGCTCATGGAAGCTCAGCATCATCAACCTGAGTGTTCCTTCAGGTGAGTGAGTGGAGTTCAGACACTACTTTCTGATCTGTGATTTATTTATTTTCTTGTATTTTTTTAATGGTTGACCTGGTAATCAGAGGTAGACAGATGTTTATCCAGCTATCCCGTTTTTATTCAGTCTGTGAAAGTGAATCCTGCCGGTGCCATAGCTGGTGAAAACGTACTTAGTGCAGACACAAAACGTCCATCAGCTTCAAAGTGTGTCAGAAAAATGTCCACATGGTGACTGATGGATGAGAGAGGTCCCATTTTTGTTGTTGTGCACAAATCATTGAACAACACAAACACTTAGAGCTGCTTTCAGTGCTGCCTGTTTTGTTACTGCACACATTTCTGATGGTCCTACAGTCCAACGTAGCAAACATCTCTGTACTGGCCTCGTAGAACCGCTTTCTACTATCCAGGAGTTAAACACCACTGACGCCAGAGTGGGTTTAGACTTTGCTTTATATGGCAGGTGTGAAACTGTAACAACAAAATACAGTGTATATGATTGACAAATTAAAATAATTACTTGAGGAGCTGCGTGACCAAGTGCTAATGCTAACATCAAACAACTGTCTACGAACCATAAATTAGCACGCGTAATACAGCATCTAATTAACTGCTATTAATCAACATAAAGTGTCAAACAATAATGCATACTCACAGGGAATGCCTTTTTATCAGCCTTTCACAGCATAAAACACAGCATAGAACACAGCATAGATCACATTCAGTCGATATTCTGATTCCTTCTTACACTTCTCCATGGACCATGCCTTTCTCTTAAAGGGCCAGTGCACTAACCAAACAAAACAAAACGTACAAATTTGACAATAGTCAGAACAATCTCCCTGAAGCTTCTTTCTGAACTTTGGGAAGCAGTGGTGCTGCAGTAATCTCTGTTGCACTCCCTTTTACATACAAAAAAAGATAGCTTTAGATGTTTAAAATGTTTTAAACACTACTTCCATACTTTCTGTAAAAAGGTGTGATAAAAAAGTAAAAATATCATAATGAGATGCTTCATACCCCTGGAAATTGTGAGAATTGTCCTCATACTGGCCTCCTTATCATCATCCAACTTCTGATTAAAATCACCTTCATGGTTCACCACGGTATGGAAGGGACTCGCACATCTGTCTCTGATGAATGTCCTCACAGACATTTGAACAGTTTGAACACCAGTGAGGGGAACCTTCTGAGCGCCAAGTGATATTTTGGTGTACTATGTCCTGGTTTAACATGATGACTGATCAGTAATTTCACACTCTTGCAAAAGGGCACTTGACCATGTTGTATGCTTTGTAAATTTAGCTTTTGGGCCAAGAAAAAGATTATCTATACCTGGACAGGTTCTGGTCAGCTGTGCACGAATAGCTTTATTGTGTTTTTACTACTGTGTCTTATGAAATCTTGCATTCGCAAGACTGTCATACTTCTTAATAGTTTCATACGACGTGTAAGTGTGTGTGTGTGTGTGTGTGTGTGTGTGTGTGTACCCTTGGTATATTGTTCTCAGTTGTGCCGACAACTTCACTTCACTTTGGGCTGCTTATTCCAGTCTGCTGTGTGCAGTACAGTGTACTATTTCTGAGACTGAAACACAAATTTTAAATGGTCATGTACACTTTTGTGGCTCAAGAGTTGGGAGTTCGCCTTGTAATCGGAAGGTTGCCAGTTCAAGTTCCGGCTTGGACAGTCTCGGTCATTGTGTCCTTAGCTTGCCATCACCAGCATATGAATGGGTGGATGACTGGTTGTGTAAAGTTCTTTGGGGTCCTTAGGGACTAGTAAAGTGCTATACAAATACAGGCCATTTACCATTTAAATCCCTCGGTTTTAATTTGATTTTACAAACTTATAAATTTTACAAACTGAGTGTTACAAAGTTAAAATACATGATTGCACAGGAGTGGTTTGTGCCATGGCTCAATAAAATGGTCCATTTTTAAGGGGCTTTTAGTATTAACCATGGCACTATTTTCTGAAATAATTCTGTTATTGCATGCAAATAGATATAAGTCATGCTTTTTAAAAGGAAACTATTATGTTTAAAAATGTTAAGTTTTAAACATTAGGTTTAAACAAGTTTCCCTTACTCTGTTATAGAAGCACTTGGAAAATGTTTTACAAAACTTTTACATTTCAGAACAGTGCAAAAAAGAAAAAAAATTACATCTGTGAAGTCAATAGAATTCATTCCATTCATATTTTGGGAGATAACACAAATGTTAGGCTGTAAATGAAATTCAAAATGATGAAAAAAAAAACTAAAACAAAAATTTCCAAGAATATAAACAATATATTTAAAGATAATAATTGTAGTGATAATTGAACTTGGATCCCTGTAACCTGTCTGCTTTGTGTTATTTCCTCTTTCAGATGAGCAACACTTCATCACAGCTAAATCTGGACAAATCGTCATCCTGCCATGTCTAACTCCAAAGAAAAACATCAAATTTGTTCACTGGAGCAGAGCTGACCTGGAGCCAGAATATCTTGTTTTGTACAAGGATGGGAAGTTTCTTCCAGATAACCAGCAGCCATCTTTTAAGAACCGGGTGGATCTGCAGGAGAGACAGATGAAAGATGGAGACGTGTCTTTAATTCTGAACAATGTGAACACTGCTGACAAGGGAACGTACCAGTGTCATGTTTTCACAGAAGGAGCACGGACATGGAAAACCATCAGCATCATTAACCTGAATGTTCCTCCAGGTAAGTCTGTACAGTTCAGACACTGCTTCACTGCTGTCTGATGACAGCATCGCAAATATAACAGACTGAAAAACTGCAGTACTTGTATAGATTTTCCTGAATCTCGATTTTAATGTATATCCTCCATACAAAATTAGTTAAAAAGGTTGAAATAAACACTGAGACCAGTAATAAATGAACTAAAACTAAACAACTAAATAAGGCTATGTCCACACGTACCCGGGTATTTTTGAAAACGCAGATTTTTCTATGCGTTTGCACCTTTCATCCACACGTAAACAGCATTTTCGGTCACTGAAAACAGAGATTTCTAAAAACTCCGACCAGGGTGGATATTTTCTAAAACTCAGATTTTGTATTTACGTGTGGATGAGAAAAACGGAAAAAACGCAGCGTCAAAGGTGTACGCCTTTTTTGACGTCACACTGTGCGCCACGTTATTGTTTCGGTGAAATGAATTTCTACAATACTGTTACTGTTAATTGTTCTCTCTGCAGTGTTTAAATGCTTACATATAGAGAATACAATAGAGGTTTCAGAATAGGTTTCACAATGAACTCACCCGAAACTCTGGCTGATTGGGTCCCACACCCAATTTCACACCTTGGCTCAGGTGATTAGAGGATCATCAGGGGGTCCTTTTGTCCGTCTGTGGGGGTCACTCCCACTAGGTTTATATCTGGGACTCTCCACCATTTGACCTTAGAACTGAAGAAGCTTCTCGGATGAGAGGTGAAACGTCTTCAAGAAACTTAAAGAAGTCCAGACGCTTTTCTTTGCAAGCTCCTTTGACTACGATGACCTGGATGACTGAGAACCTTCACAGACAACCTGAGTGGTATTTTGTTATTGGACTCCTGAGCACAGTTTGTCCATAGCAAACACCAAGTTCAAACCAAAGGATGTCCACCCACATGCACATTGCACCAGGGCATCCTAGGTCGCAAGTCAATAATTGATTTTGTAATCATATCATTGCATCTGCATCTGTATGTCCTGGACAATTGGGTTAAGAGAGGACCCGAGCTGTCAACTGATCACCACCTGGTTGTGAGATGGATCTTGGTGTGGGAGCATGCTGGACAGACCTGATACATCTAACATCTAAGTATAGCGAGGGTCTAGTCCGGGAGATCAACTCTCACCACCAGCAGGACTTTGACAGTGTTCTGAGGAAGGCGTGGGTCTGAGTGCAAATGGACTCATTTCTGCACTTCTATTGCTCAGGCTGCTGCAAGGAGCTGTGGCCAAAAGGTGGTTAGCACCTGTTGTGGTGGTAATCCATGAACCAGATGGTTGACACTGGAGGTGAAGAGAGCTATCAAGCTGAAGGAGGAATCCTATCAGTCTTGGTTAGTTTGTGGGACTTCAAAGACAGACGATAAGGTACTGACAGGCCAAGCAGAACATGGCTTGGGTAGTAACTAATGCAAAAACTCATTTGTAGGATGAGTTCAGTGGGTGTATGGAACAAGATTTTTAGAGTGCCTCGAAGCAATTCTGACCAATCGTCAGGTGAAATTGTGCTCCACTGACACAATATAAAGTGGAGGTGGGGTGCTGCTGAATTGAACAAGCAGAAAGGTTAGTGAGAGATGAAAAGACAGATTGGGACGGCGTATGCAGTTATAAGAACTGAGCATAAAAGTGAAGCTTTCGATTTACTGGCCAATCTATGATCCCTACCTTCACCTAAGGTATTCATTCATTCATTTCATTCATTTATTTATTCATTTTCAGGCACAACAAATACCTATATTGAACATAAAATACACAAAACAAAAAACAAAACTTGCCTGAAAAAGGAGTGGGACGAAGAAAACTTATTAAATCCCACCCCTATACTCACTCATCAACAAAAAAAACAATAAACTTCCCGCAGCTACGCCCATCATTGCATACAGACCCATCAACAGCCCCGGGCACATACAAGCATCTAAGCGGCAGCTCGCAACCAACAATTAGAGCCTTCATAACTGAATACACAATATATAAATTATAAATTGCATTACCACAGGTAACAGGCAGTAATAACTACAAGTAACAGACACACATACATATACATACATATATATCTACACACACATGTACATATATGTACATACATACGCACACTTTATTTTTTATTTTTTATTTTGGAATCCATACCAGCAATGGTAAGAGGACAGACATTACAGAGCACACTAAAACCCATCATTGAGTATACTGTGACCAGACCAACTGTTTGTAGAGAAATTTAAATCTATGAATATTTTTGCATTGTTTCAATTGTAAACTCAGACTGTTCCAGATTTTCACACCACATACAGACACACAAAAGCCTTTACGGGTTGTTCGAGTTCTGGGTAATTTGAATTCTCCAAAGCCTCTCACATTATAAACCTTTTCTCGAATTTCAAATCTAGTTTGTAAATTTGCCGGTAAAAGTTTAGTAAAAGCTTTATACAAAATTATGGATGTATTGTAATTAACCAGATCCTGGAATTTAAGTAACTTTGCCTGAAGAAAGAATTTGTGAGTATGATCTAGATAACCAGCCTTGTGAATAATACGCAGTGCTCGTTTCTGTACTGTGACTAATGGATTAGTTGTATTTTTATATGTATTTCCCCACACTTCCACACAATATGTAAGATATGGAAGAACCAGGGTACAGTACAGAGTACGAAGTGCATCTTTATCAAGGAATTGTTTCACTTTGTTCAAAACTGCGAGGCTTCTAGAAATTTTGGTTTTTATGTGTCTGACGTGGGGTTTCCATGAAATTTTGTTATCAATTATAACTCCCAAAAATTTGTTTTCACTCACATTATCAATTGGTACACCTTCAATGATAATTGGTAATTCTATATTATATTTTAAATTACCAAAAAACATTGCTTTAGTTTTATTTATATTTAATGATAATTTATTTATGTCCATCCATTTTTTTATTAATTTTAGCTCCCTGTTTACAGTCATTACAAGATCAGTATAATCATCGCTACTGAAAAATATGTAGGTATGAACTCTGGGTAGTGACCAAAAGAGCAAGATTGCGGTACAAGCAGCATGAACGAGATTTCTCCAAAAGGTGATTGGCCTCTCCCTTAGAAGTAGGGTGAAAAGGAGGAGTTGGCCATCCGACTGCGGTCTGGAGTGTGGGGCCTCCCTGCTGCTGCGGAGTCGGGGCGGTCTGCCTCTCCCCACCGCAGGGAAAAGGGTAACACCACCTGGGTCTGGGTGCAGTTCCCCCCTCCAGGGGCAAGGGTACCTAGACTCCCTCAGGTGTCGGTGCGTTGGTGGTTCTTTGTGTCTGGGGGTGGGCGTCCAGGTACACACCGGCTCACTCCTTGGCGGCCGCTTATCGGGGCCTGGAGCCTGGGGCTCGCTCGGGCCACTTCGGAGGTGGGGTGCCCCCGGCCTCTCGGCCTGGGGCTCGGTCACTCAGGCACAGCTGGCTGCCGGCGGAGCTCACGGGCGCGTCAGTGCAACTCCCCCTGACTTCTGCTCCGTGGCTGCTGGGCGAGCCCTCATCTGGGACTCTCCTCAGCTCTTACTGGGACAGTGGCGCGGCTGCCCCTCTGTGGGTCTTCCTTGGTCTCTTGTGTTCTGGGGGCCACTGGATGTCTGGAGTTTTGATCTCCTCCATACCTGCTTCATACCATGGAGGACAGGGCTGTGGCTCCCCACACTCCCTAGCAGATCATTACATGGAGAAACCTTTGGAATGCAAGCATGCTGATCCACACAGGTATGCACACAGGTGCACACACGGGTATTCACACTACAGCTTTCTTGGCTGCTTCCTCAAAGCACATTGTGCGCTGTCTATCTTGCGTGCTGCACAATATCGTTTATTATTTAGTATCTACTGATATCTACTGCTAGCTAGTTTATAGCGATGGTGCTTTTTTTTCTTTTCTTATTATGTTGCTCTTTGTTGTTTGCTTTCTCCTCTGTTTTTTTTTCTCCATACAGGTGACCCAGGTGTTTTTTTTTTTGTTTTTTTTTCTTTCTTCCCCCCCTTCTCACCGTCTCTTCTCCCCTTTGGTTTTCTTTCTCTCCCTCTCTTTCTTTCATTCTTTCTCCCTGTCCTATCCCACAGTCATGTCTGTCCCATTTGTAGCAACTGAAAATAAAATAAATTCATAATTATAATAAAGGTCAATCAAATGGACCAATATGGCAAGGCCATGATGATCCACTTGGTAAAATAAATCCGCTTGGCATCTTCCTTGGCCTTAAGACAACAATTCTGATGGCTATAGATCCAAACGGGACACAAAAAAAAAAAGAAAAAAAAAAAAGAAGTAGGGTGAAGAGTTCAGTCTTTCAAAAGGGGCTCAGAGTAGAGTCACTACTGTGCTTCAAAATGAACCAGCAGAGGTACTTCGGGTATTTGGTTAGGTAAAGATGAAAATTCTAGTTATAATTGTACTTTGTCCTTTAATGTCTCTGCTATGTGTTATTTCCACTTTCAGACCAGAAAGTCATTGCAACTAAGTCTGGCCAGAATGTCATTCTGCCATGTCAAAACCCAACCAACAAGATCAAAGCTGTACGTTGGAGCAGAGTTGACCTGGAGCCAGAATATCTAATTTTTTACCGTGCTGAGCAGTTTCTTCCAAATAACCAGAATGAGTCTTCTAAGTATCTGGTGGCTCTTCATGAAAGGCAGATTAAAGATGGAGATTTGTCTTTGATTCTGAACAATGTGAACACTGCTGATAATGGAACATACGTGTGTCGTGTCTTCACGGAAGAAACACGCTCATGGAAATCCATCAGCGTTATCGACCTGAATGTTCCCCCAGGTGAGTTACAGGAGTGCAGACACTGCTTTCATGTTATTTATGGATGACCTGATGGTTGTCAGAGGTAGACAGATGTTTCTCCAGCTGTTGTCTTTGTGGCTGGTAGTCTAGAGTTATAGAGCAGCATTGTAGGTATACAAAGGGTATACAAAAGTGATTTGATTCATATATTAATAGTTTAAACACTAACATAACATTAACAATAGTGATATGTTATTAAAAAATAACGATATTGCCCAGCTCTACAGTGATCCAGAAATGGCAAAGACAAAGAAGTGTAATGTGTGTGTCAGTGTGATGTGTTGTAGTGTCAGGAGTCAGGATGCAGCTACAAAGCTTTTTGTTCAGTGAATACAAACAGCTGTAGCTCCATAAAGGCAGCATGCAGAGACTCACAGTGTCTTATAATGAGAGGCTGCTTTCTCTCACACATTATGTTCACTTATTATCAGCACATATTCTGCTGAAGCTAACATCTTGCAGTTTCTGAAACTTTGGATGTTTAATGCAAAGTAAACAATTCTAGTCATAATTGTGCTTTGATTCCTTTGGCCTGTCTTGTTGACCTTGACCTGCTCAGTCTTGTGTCATCTTTCAGATCAGAAAAACATCACAGCTGAGTCTAGAAAGAGTGTTATTCTGCCATGTGGAGCTCCAAACAACAAAAAGATCAAATTCATACATTGGAGCAGAGCTGACCTGGAGCCGGAATATCTACTTGTTTACCGTAATGGGCAGTATCTTCTAGATAACCAACATCCATCTTTTAAGAACCGGGTGGATCTGCAAGATATACAGATGAAGGATGGAGATGTGTCTTTGATTCTGAAAAACGTGAATACTGCTGATGATGGAACCTACCAATGCCGTGTCTTCATGGAAGAAACACGCTCATGGAAGCTCAGCATCATCAACCTGAATATTTCTCTAAGTGAGTTATTGTCTCTAAATCATCTGTAAACATGTGTGGGTGATAGTATTTCTATACCAGCCACTTCTTCTGTCTGTTGGTGGACTACCATACAGTCCTTCCATGATTGTTCCTCTTCTTTCTTGGGCTTCTGCTGCCTGAGGTATTCACTAAGCATGTGATCAGTTGTGGCCATCTTTCTGGGGTACTCATGGACCTCAGCATACAGTCTGGGGTAGGGATGGGTATCGTTTAGGTTTTATCTGATACCGGTGCCAAATTGGTACTTTTGAAACGGTGCCGGTGCTCAAACCGGTGCTTAAAGAATGGAGAACACAAAATTGGTCCAAAAACCTCTCATTTTCAGCTGGTTTTTTGTAAAAAGATAACAATGTTAGCCTTTTCTGCAGCTATGGGGCATATATGGTATCACTCTTGGCTGGAAGCAGTGCTTAAACAATGGAAAACACAAACTTTGTCAAAAAAACTTTCATGTTTAACTGTTTTCCACTTTTTCTTTGGGCATTTTAGCCTTTTTGGCAAGGGTGAAGGGAGTATCTGCCATCAAACAAGAGGACAGCCGCATGTAGCTATGATAATGTTTGCTAGTTCACCTTACATGCATTAATGTAATAACGTGGTTAGCCTACTCAACATAAATTACACACGAACAACATTAAGCTACTCACGCAGAGAAGAACGGCTGCTGCTGCCATCATCATCCGTCATCATTTCTGCTACACTGGCAGGGCTAGGGGCCAGGACTCTCCTCTTCGAGTTTTTGGGGTATGTTGCTCTGGGTCCGATAACAGGCAACCCACCCGCAGTAGATGTGCTCGGTGTGAGTTCTCGCAGCAAGCTATCATACGGCGCATTTCTGGGCTTTTAAAAAAAACGCTATGCGTCGCCAGGTGTTTCATCGGATTTGAGGTGTTACCTCCTTTGACAGTATCACAGTATCAGCTTAAAGCACTTGTTGCTGCTGAGTTTGCATCTTTTGCTGTGAAGTACAGCCAGACTTTGACTGGTCCTCCTTGGGCATTTTTAATCTCTAGCCCTGCTCTAAAAGAACGTACATACCTGGCCCCGCCTACTATCCTCGAAAACGTAAAATGATTGGCTAGAAGTGTATCACAGCTCAGGAAAAAAAGCACTGAAATAAAGCACCGAAATGTGCGCTGCTTTTCGGTCTGGTTACTACCGTTTATGTCAGAACCGGTGCTATCATGGCACCGGACACCGGTACCCATCCCTAGTCTGGGGGGCTGGATTTGAGTTGAAACCCTCCATCTATGGCAATCAGCTTTTTTGTCTTGATATCAGTGGCTTTTATCTCCTCCTTTGGTCAGCCAATCCCAGTAGAGTAACGGACAACAGGTGTTAATTGGCTGGATCTTTTTTCTTTCCATTCACCTCACTCCTGCGGGTATTTATTGGTTGTGGCCTCTTTATGGTTATCGTTTGCCTGTGGGATTTCAAGATACCTGTAGCTGTCCTCACTATCTCCAATGTTGCCTTCTAGTCGTGCCATCCCGTGTGTTCTGGCTACCTTCCCTCTCTTTTTTTGCCATCCGACTTCACTTCTGCAGTCTTAATGACTGAATGACATTTTGATTTCTTTACTGTAGATCATATTGATGTGGATCAGTGAATCAGTGTCTAGTTGGCTGATGGTATCCATAGTCAGTATTCATAGCGACTGTTGTTAATGATCTGGCTGAGGAGGTTCATGCCTTTGCAAACAGCAGCGGCAACAGAGCATATCCTTGGTAAACAGGTTAACAGACCCTCGGTAACAGTAAGACAAAATTTAATCAATACAAGAAATGACTAAATAAACAATGCTGAATATACAAATGTGATTAGTAGAGCTGCTGTTTTCATTATATGAATCCTGTAACTCTACACCAGGAAAACCATCAAATATGATACGGGTCTGATTTTAGAGATTTGAAGCTGTCCAAAAAATTATGATACACTTTATTCTAAGTTTGGTGTGGAATTACATTAGTGTGAGCACCCCACCAACTAGTTGTTTCTTATTACAGAAACATTGTTTTTAAAGTATAGTATACAGTAGGTATGATGTGTGTAATATACCATGAATTTGGAAATATAGCTCAGTGGAGTCAAAGGAGCTTGGAAAGAAAAGCATCTGGACTTCTTTAAGTTACTTGAAGACGTTTCACCTCTCATCCGAGAAGCTTGTTCAGTTCTAAGGTCAAATGGTGGAGAGTTCCAGATTTAGACCCAGTGGGAGTAACCCCCACAGAGGGACAAAAGGATCCCCTGATGATCCTCTAATCGCCTGAGCCGAGGTGTGAAACTGGGTGTGGGCTCCAATCAGCCAGAGTTTCGGGTGGGTTCATTGTGAAACCTGGCCCCACCTTATCATGCGAATTCCTGAGGTCAGATGGCCCAGGATGTGAGTGGGCGTTAAGGCGTCTGGGGAGGGAACTCAGAACTGGATTATAGATGGCAGACAGTTGGTGTCGTAAACCCCCGCCTCTGTTCAAAGATGGTCGCTCACAGTGGACATAGATGGCTTCTTTCACTCCTCTTTCAAACCATCTGTCCTCTCTGTCCAAAATGTGAACATTGGCATCCTCGAAAGAGTGTCCTTTATCCTTAAGATGCAGATGGACTGCTGAGTCTTGTCCTGTGGAGGTGGCTCTTCTATGTTGTGCCATGCGCTTGTGAAGTGGCTGTTTGGTCTCTCCAATGTAGAGGTCTGTCACGGCCGAGGCCGTTTCAAAGGGTGGCAGGACTCAAATGCAGGATGCTGAACAGCACGTAAGTAGTCTTTAAAGACGATGTTTAATTACTTTAACAAAATACATAAACAGGAAAGTGAATGTGACAAATACGAAGGTGCCTTAACAGAATCTAAACAACAATCTGGTCCTGGTCAGAGAGAACAGCAGTTCCGGGAATTGGGCTGGAGAGCGAGTCACACTAGGTCCAGGAAAAAGGGATCGGGGTCACTGTAACAGAGTGCAGACGTTCAGACACGGATAAGGAGACATATGAATACACTGTTCGTTCAAAAACCTCCTTTGTACTGCGTACTTGCCGCGGGGGGTCGGAAGTAACGTGGAGGGGTGTGTGGTCCGGGTGTGTAGTCCAAAACTCCTGGCGTAAAGGCAGGGAGGCAGGTGGGTGATTTGGGTAAACAACCTGTAAGACTGTTAGATGGTCCAATATCCAGGTTGAAGCTCTTCGGCGGAGTCTTGACAGTTCGGTGTGGCTATGAAAAAGGCGCACAAAAACACAAACATAGAGTGAGGCGAGGTGATTCACAAAAATGCATGCGGAATCATGGTGGTGGCCTACACTGACTGAAGTTAGCAGAGAATCCGGCAAAGAGAGGTTGAATACGCTGGCCTTAAGAGTCCCTGGCTGGATTACCCACAGGTGAGAGCGATCAGGCAAAACACTGAGGCCCCTCCCAGGGGTGGAGATGCCGGCTCGGAGAGAGACACACTGGCACACACCCAGACCATGACAAGGTCTGGGCATTCCTCGCTGCACTGTACAGCATACACCACATTGTTTAGTCTGTGTTTTGGCGTTTTATCTTTCGGGTGAACCAGTTTTTGTCTGAGCGTGTTGGTGGGTCTGAAATGCACCGGGATGTCATGCTTGGAGAAAACTCTCCTGAGTTTTTCTGATACACCGGCTACACAGGGGATGACAATGTTGTTGCGTCTGTCCTTCTTATCCTCCCTCGCTGGTGTCTGGTCTTCTTTTCTGTGCCTCTTTGCTGACTTTAAAAACGCCCATTTAGGATAGCCGCACGTTTTGAGTGCTTCCTTTACATGTGTGTGTTCCTTCTTTTTTCCTTCAGGCTTAGAGGGAGCATGTTCTGCCCGGTGGTGTAGGGTCCTAATTACTCCACGTTTGTGTTCCAGAGGGTGGTGGGAGTCAAAAACTCTGGCTGATTGGAGCCCACACCCAGTTTCACACCTCAGCTCAGGCGATTAGAGGATCATCAGGGGGTCCTTTTGTCCCTCTGTGGGGGGTTACTCCCACTAGGTTTATATCTGGGACTCTCCACCATTTAGAACTGAAGAAGCTTCTCGGATGAGAGGTGAAACGTCTTCAAGTAACTTAAAGAAGTCCAGACGCTTTTCTTTGCAAGCTCCTTTGACTACGATGACCTGGATGACTGATAACCTTCACAGACATAGCTCAGTGGAATTTCTTCATTAGAAGTGAACAGTAGTATTTTGGCCTCTCTGCTCTGTGTTGTTTCCTCTTTCAGATGAGAAAAAACATCACAGCTGAGTCTGGACAGAACATCACTCTGACATGTCGAGCTCCAAATAACAACATTGATGTTTTGGAGTGGAGCAGAGCTGACCTGGACACAGAATATGTCCTTTTGTACCGTGATGAGCAGTTTGATCCAGACAACCAGCATCCATCTTTTAAGAACCGGGTGGATCTGCAGGACAGACAGATGAAGAATGGAGACGTGTCTTTAATCCTGAAGGATGTGACGATTAATGATGCTGGAACATATGACTGTCATGTCTTCATGAGAGGAACAAACCACAAGAACAGTAAACCCATCAGCAGCATCTACCTCAGGGTTGTCCCTCCAGGTGAGTGAGTAGTGTTTTTTTCTAAAGATGTTCTTTGCAGAAAGCAGCTGGTCTGAGTGATGTGATCAGAGTGTAGTAGATAATGTCTGACAGCAGTTTAAATAGGGCAGCCGATACATGTAGTCTCACAGAAGGCTTTTCAAACTTGTGATATAAAGTATCAGCCAATATCAGATACTATATCAGTACTATATCAATACTGGGCATGGAAATTACACAAATTTATCAATGATTGTGTTAGACAAGGAATGGCTTGGCATAGGAAGACCTTGGATGGCAAGTGGTTGTTTTCCTGACTTGTTGCATGCACGGACAAGGCAAGCCAGCACATAGTCCCAGATGTCCTTTTCTATAGTCAGTGACCAAAATCAGCACATTGGGAGAGAGATGTCAAGTCTTTTTCAAGGTGTTGGAGCTTGTGTTGTGTTGGACCAAAAGTGCAG